TGTACAGTATGAGCCAATCAGTGGCAGTAATGACAGAGCATGCGCTGTTACGCAAAAACCGCGATAGAGTGAAGCCGGGGAAGTCGAAGCGCGAAGTGGCGAGGGTTCACTGTACAGCAGCAAACATACTTCAGAGTAGAACTGTTTCCAATGGCTGGTGATTGGAAGGATGTTACTCAGGCTTTCTTGAGAAGCACCTCTGGGTGACATACAATCATCAAATGTTTGGTTACTAGCCAGGCATGCTCACCACTCAAGGGCTCCAGTTTATAAGCCGGAGGACAGAGCATAAGAACATGAAGCACATGTGAGAGTTCCCCTTGAAACTCCAAGAATAAACTGTGGAGGTTTTGGAAGGACTGGGGTTTTACACGTAGAGGCAATGAAATATGCTTTAATGTTAATGTAATCACACTTGAACCTGGAAGGACCTGGGGCCTTCATATTACATTAAAAACTGTTGGTAAAACCAACTTTGCAACCAAATAAATCAATATAGCCAAAAATATTGTTTCGATCAATATTCCACTGCATTCTGAAACCGAGGTTGTATGCTTAGTCCTTCCATCAGCATCCATCAGCCTTCTCTGCTCTTCTTCACAGACAGGATAAATCCTCAACAAATACTATGTATACGTACATGTAATTATTGGCTATACAGTATATGTGCCATAACTATTTATAGGTTATCACAAAATAATTTACTTAGTTTTTGTCATTAAGGATGTATGGAGAATGGATACCCAAAGGTGCTTTTAAGACATCGGTTTGCTACTAACAGTTTACTTAATGTTTTCCTGCCTGTCAAGAGCCCTCAAGGAGCAGTTAATTATATGTGATATATTTTCATCCATCAGGCAGAGTTTACTGTGCAAAGGGATCTTTGAAAGAAATTAATACTTCACCAGAATCTGAACAAACACATCACTCTTGAATTCCCTAGTGTTTGTGAATTGGGAATCGCTGATTTATTTTTCAGCAGGAAGAAACTCTTCATTAAGCAGTGATTTTTCAAGGCCCAAGTGGTCAGCTGGAAAGAGAGAGAAACTGTCAAGGCCATGGGGGAGTGAGATTTTAAAAAGGGAGTGTGTTGGGTTAGTGCCCAGAAAAGGCAGAACGAGGACAAAAACCATTTTGGTTTTATGATTTTTGAAGGAGGGCAAAGGTTATTATATTTTGTGTGTGTGGGAAATATACAAGTAACAAAGCCATTGGCTTTTCATCCATCTTCACATGAATCATTTAGTGACATCAACTATGGTCACATGTTTCCAACTATTGTTGTTAAATTCCTACAAGTCGATTTCCACTCACTGGACCCATTGTGACAGAGTGGAACTGCTCCGTGGGGCTTTCTCGGCTGTCATCTTCACTGGAGCAGATCTTCAGTGAGCTGCTGGGTTGGTTCAAACTGCCAACCTTCTGACCAACAGCTGAGTACTTACATCGTCATCGTACCTCCAGAGCTCTTCATTCAACCTTCCTCGTTCCCAAATGTTTTCATCATTCTTATCAGAAGTGCGGTATTCCTGAAATATTTTTGTCTTCTTTTCTCTTTCCTTCCCTTAGGTGCCATCGAGTTGATCCCAACTGATAACAACCCTATGTATGACAGAATGAAATACCACCCAGTCTTGTGCCGTCTTCACAACTGTTTTTATATTTGAGCCCATTGTTACAGCCACTGCCAATACATCTTGTTGATGCTCTTCCTCTTGTTCCCTGCCCCTCTACTTCATCAACCCTGACGCCTTTCTCCAGGAACAGATCTCTCCCAATAACATGTACAAAGTAAACGGGACAACATCTTGCCATGCCACCCTGGAGCATACAGATTGTACTTGACCCCAGACAGATTTGTTTGCTCTTTCAGCAGTCCACAGTCCTTTCCATATTCTTTCCCAGCATCGTAATTCAAATGCATCCATTCTTCTTTAATCTTCCTTATTCAATGTCCAACTTTCACATATATATGAGGTGAATGAAAATACTATGGTTTAATCCTCAACATGACACCCTTGCTTTTCAACATTCTAAAGAGCTCTTGTGCTGCATATTTACTCCAACAACAAGCAATGCATTATTTGACCTCTTGACTGCTGCTTCCACGATTGTGGATCCAAGTACCGTACACACTTGAGCATAAGTCAACCCGAATATCAGCCGAGGCACCCAATTTTACCACAAAAACTGCATTAAAAATGTGCTGAAAAACTTGGCTTATACATGAGTATATACGGTTAATTGAAATCCTTGAGAACTTCAATCTTTTCTTCATGTATCATAATGTTACCTATTGGTCTAGTTGTGAGGATTTAATTTTTATTGTTGTTTTTAACATCCTTACTGAAAGCTGGAATCCTTGATTTTCATCACCAACTGCTTCAAGTCCTCCTCACTTTCAGCAAACAAGATGGTGTCTTGTGCATATTGCACAAGTTGTTAATAAGCCTTCCTTTGACTAGATACCACATTCTTCTTCCGATAATCCAGTCTCTCTGATATTTGCTCAACAAACTGATTAAATAAGTACGGTGAGAGCACACAACCCAGTCACACACCTTTCCTGATTTGAAACCATGCAGTATTCTCGGTTCTGTTCACATAACCGCCTCTTGATCCAGATACGAGTTCCAAATAAGCATCATGAAATGTTCTGGAAGAACAAAAAATCTTACCATAGTGAATGATGGGGGGAGTGCGGAGTGGAGATCCAAAGCCCATTAGTAGGCCACTGGAGATCCCCTTGCAGAGGGGTCTCGGGGAGGAGATGAGCCAGTCACGGTGCGATGTAACAATGATGAGAAACACAACCTTCCTCTAGTTCCTAAATGTTTCCTCCCCGCTCCCACTACCATGACTCGAATTCGATCTTGCAAGACTGGCTAGACCAGAGGAGGTACACTGGTACAGATAGGAACTGAAAATACAGGGAATCCAGGACGGATGAGCCCTATAGGACCAGTGGTGTGAGTGGCAAAACAGGGAGGGTAAAGGGAGAATGGGTAGGAAAGAGGGAACCGATTACATGGAACTATATGTGACCTCCTCCCTGGGGGACAGACAACCGAAAAGTGGGTGAAGGGAGAAGTCGGACAGGGCAAGATATGACAAAATACCCATTTATAAACTATCAAGGGCTCATGAGGGAGGGGGGAGTGGGGAGGGAGGGGGAAAATGAGGACCTAATGTCGGGGGTTTGAGTGGAGAGAAAATGTTTTGAGAAACGATGTACAAATGCGCTTTACACAATTGATGTGTGTATGGATTGGGATGACAGTTGTATGAGCCCCTAATAAAATGTTTAAAAAAAAAAAAAAAAAAAATGTTCTGGAATACCCATTCTTCTGAAGGCTATCCATAATTGGTTATGGTCCACACAATCAAATGCCTTGGCATGGTCTATAAAACAAAGTACACATCTTTCTGGTACTCTCGGTTTCCAACCAAGATCCATCTGACTCAGCGATGCGATCCTTCGTTGCCCCTCCACTTCTGAATCAGCCTGAGCTTCTGGAAGATCCCTTTCAATGAACTGTTGCAACTTTTGTTCGATGATCCTTAGCCAAAGTTTACTTGCATGTGATATAAATGATATTGTTCTATAACTTGAGCATTCTGTTGGGTCACCTTTCTTTGGAATGGGTACAGATTTGGATCTCTTCCAGTCAGGTGGCCTAATAGCTGTCTTTCAAATATCCTGACATAGAGGGGTGAGTGCTTCCAGTGCTTCATTGGCTTGTTAAAACATTCCAATAAGTATTCCCATTGAAATAACTTTGTTTTGGCTAATGCTTTCAGGGCAACCTGGACTTCCTTCAGTACCATTGGTTCTTGAGCATATGCTACTCCTTGAAATATTAGGATGTAGACTTATTCTTTATGGTACAGTGACTGTGTATTATTTCCATCTTCTTTTGATGCTTCCTTCATCATTCAATATTTTGCCTATACAATCTTTCAATATTGCAACTCAAGACTTGAATTTTTTCTTGAGGTTTTCAGTATAAGACATGCTGTTCATGGTCTTCTTCCTTTTTGGTTTTCTAACTCTAGATGTTTGCACATTTCATTATAATACTTTATGATGAACGTCTTCTCAATCTGTCCTTTGAAATGTTCTGTTCTGCTCTTTGATTTTTTCATTTTTTTCATTTGGCTTAGCAAATTTCAGATTCCCTTCTGATAGCCACTTTGATCTTTTCTTTCCTAAGTTTTTAATGAGCTTTTTTTGCCTTCATGTATTATGTTCTTGATGTCATCACACAGCTCATCGGGACTTCTGTCATGAGTGTTTAGTGAGTCAAATCTGTTCTTGAGATGTTCATGAAATTTGGATGGGATATGCTCAAGGTCAAATTTTGGCCCTTGTGGACTAGTTTTCATTTCCTTCCGCTTCAATCTGAATTTACATATGAGCAGTTGATGGTCTGATTCACAGTCAGCCCTGGTTTGGCTTTAGCTGCTGACATTGACTTTCTCCGTCATCTCTTCTCATAGATGTAGGCAATTTGATTTCTGTGTATTCTGTCTGAAGAGGCCTAAGTGTATATTTGCCTTTTGTGCTGTTAAGAAGGGTATTGGTACTGAAGTAGTTCATCTTCCAAAATTCTATCATGTGGTCTCTGGCTTTGCTTCTATCACTAAGATCATATTTTCCAACTACCCTTTCATCTTTGTTTCCAGCTTTTGCGTTCTAATCGCCAATAATTATGAATGAACCTTGATTGCATGTTTGATTCATTTCAGACTGAAGCTATTTGTAGAATTCTTCAATGTCTTCATCACTAGCTTTTGTGTTTGGTGTATAAATTTGAACAATAGTTGTATTCACTGGATTTCCTTGTATGAGGATAGATATGATCCTCCCACAGACAGCACTGTACATAAAGATAGACCTGGAGATGGATAGATATTATCCTCCCACAGACAGCACCGTACATAAAGATAGACCTTGAGATGGCCTTTTGGGTGATGAAGGCAATGCCATTCCTCTGGAATGTGTCCTTCCCGGCATAGGAAACTCTATGACTTTCTGATTAAAAATGGTTAATACCTGTCCACTTCAGCTCACTAACACCTTGAACACCATTAATTAACTTAGATCTTTACCCACTTTTTCATTAGAGAAATGTCATGCTCTATGGCATTTGTGCATTGAACTGCAACAAATTTGAATTCACCAGCTGCTGGGGGGCGGGTGGTGGTGGTGGGTGGTGGAGTACTTTCGCTTTGGTAACCATTTCCAGTCCTGGCAACCCAAAGGGGTACAGTTCTACTCTGTTCTCTAGGTGCACTCTGAGGCTGAATCAACTCAATGGCAGTGGGTTTAAGTTTTGGGATTTGCTTTGTTTTTAAGGTTGGCATTTCAAGGTAAGAAACTGAGTTTCCGAGTTTCCTAAATCATAGTTTCTGGCATACTTCAAACCTCATTCTTATTCTGGTTTAATATCTCTATCAGGAGTCCTAAGTGCTGCCAAGAGAGATGGAACCCTACTTCAGGCAAATGAAATGAGTGAAGTAAATAAGAAAACTATTTTGTCTTTTTAAAGTATAGAAATGTAACAAAGCTGGTCCTCCTCCTAGTTTCTATCAGCTAGTTTAAATGTGGTAAAACATTTAATCTCTGAGTTTCTTTAAGAGCCAATCTCGGGAAGAAAAGACTTAGAAATGCTCCAAATCCCTCAGGTGAAAGACCATTGTTGAAAACACAATAGAGTCATGACCTTGTAGTGAGAGTTGTGTAGAAATAGTACTTCTGGTTCTTGGCCTCGGTGGGTGAAATAGAAACCATATCCTTGGGATGGGGCCTGGGGTAAAGTTTGCAGTTATCAAGTTTCCTCTCAGCTGATGGGATTGCCAACTTACAGGAAAGTGAGGGCCACTCACCTCGTGCCAGCAGCTGTACATGACTTCATAGATGGGCATGGATGCCAGGTGGGGACGGTAGAGCCTGAAGCCATTAGAAATGGCTTCTACAACTTGTAAGTTTGATTTATTTTCAAAAGGCATTTTGCCTTCTGTAAACACTTCCCACATCAGAACACCTGTAAAGGAAACCCAGGGAAAAGGATTAGAGAAAAATGGTGAGTCGAAACTGACCGAGCATTTTCAAACTACAAGGCATTGTTATCCTTCGCCAGACCGCATGCACCTTCATTTCTGAATAGACCTGTCGATTGAAACAATTCCTCTGACTATGCCTTTCCATTTCCATGGGTCTTGACTACCCTCTAAAGGAAAATTAAAATCCTGGCAGGATTAGCATTACTAGATAATGCTCATGTGCCATGTCCTTAGATCAATGAACCTTTCTGCTAGTCCATAGAAAATAAAAGAATTATATGGGGCTCTGGCCAGGAGTTTCCAGCCACAATAAATGGCAAATGTCTCACTCTTGACACTGAAAGATTAGAGCACGGGATAGTGTCCCTAAGTATCTGTAACTCTGTACATTATTGGGGCTCAATAGTCATTGATTCATCGATTGAAATAAACTTCTCCAAGAACTTTCAATTTGGAAGTTCATCGTTCACATATACAAATATTTACAGAGTGTTGATTAGAAACCAGGTCTGTGTTAAGGGCAGAGAATTCGAAAAGAATAGGTCTAGTCTATGTCCTCTAGAAGCTCTCTATCACATGAGAAAGAGAGAGAGGGGTTAGGTAAAATTCAGAGTCTAGCTGCTGTGTAACCACTTGATGAGGACCTTTGGTCTTCTTATCCCTCAGTCTTCAAGATGTGGTCCTACAACGTCGCCCTTTCTCGCAGAGCGTACAATGTCAGCTGTTGTCTCATGTCCATGGACACCTAGCAATTCACACTATTCTGAGGTCCCCAATGTCCCTTTAGTCCTAAAAATAATCATCCAAGAGTGTCTGCCAGAAAGAGAATAGATTTGTCATTGCTCACCTATTGTCACCTTTTGAAAACCAACAAAACTCCATTGGATATAGATCTATAAAGTCTCTTTCTCAATGGAAAACATGATCAAATATAGATCCAAAGGAAGCCCATATGTAGATTGCACAAATTTGAAATTAATAAGTGTGATTGCTAGGGAGAGTGTCAACTAGACACTTGGATAAGGGTAGGGACAGAGCCAACTCTATCAATTGGGTCGAAGCCTGATGACATCTCCTTAGTGTGCAGGTCTTTTTTGTAAAAGAGACAGAAACCAAGCAAAGTCAAGTCCTCTTGGCCCTTTTGCTTTCTGCCAGAGTGGGAGCTTGTGTCTGGTTCCTCAATGTCCTATAACATCGCCTATCAATCCTAGAAGTTGCCAGTGAACTACTGAAGATAGATTCATGCAGCCAACTTCGGACCTCTGCATCCACCAGCCCGTGTGTCTCTGCTTCATCATCCTGCTTCCTGTTCATCCGCTTCTATGAGTCAGGAGAAGCCTCAGTTGAACTGGACCGGACTTACTTTTTCTGCAATTGTCTAAGCCAATTTTTGATCCGAATCTCTTTCTACACACAACACACACAAGTGCCACTGGTTTTGTTCCTCTGGAGAACCCAACATAATAAGAGTAAATGAGTTAGTACCAGGTTTAAAACCCAGGTTTCCAGTTCAGGTTGTCAACTGAGCAGCTTGCGAATAAACAAATCACTCCGGAGTTAGGTAACCAAATTAATCAATTATAGCTAATTCTCCGTGACGCTGTAAGATCAATTTGCCATGCAAGTCTTTGTGGTAGAAAGGAGTTGGCTGAGTTTAATTTCTTGATCAACAGGCAGTTTCGGTTTTACCACAATGATTGCTGGGTGAGTTAGTTAATTGTGCCAG